GACGATCAACCCACTGAGCCACCCAGGTGCCCCACGCCAGTTGCTTTTCTAAGAGCACAGTGTGTCTCCTGTTGTTGTCAGGTAGGGGAGCTAGCAGAGAGAAGCAGCTCAACTACCAGGTGACACGATGATGACCAACTCTCCCTGCGTGTTTTCCACGGGTAGGCACTGTGTGCCAGGCGCTTCTCTAGGCAGCTTATGCATTTTATTTCATGCGAAACCTTGTCCCCATGCTGTGAGGTGGGAGCTCATGGTACAGCAAGGACACGGAGGCACAGAGCGCTGAAGAAACGTGTTCTAGGTCACTCAGTGGCTAAGCGGAGGAGCGTGGACTTGAACCTAGGCCATCAGTCCCGGAGCTTCCATTCATAATTACTTTGATGAGGAGGAAACCGATCCATTGATGCTGGGTCCCCTGCTTTTATCGCACCTCTCCTCCTTGGGTCAGGCTTCTATAAACTCTAACGGTGCTAGGTGTCAGCACCCCTCCTCACTGATGGGTAGCCTCCAGACTTGACACATTATGGACTGAAAACGCCCTGAGCGTGAAGCCCTGGGTCTTTTAAAAAATGTCAGTTCCCAACCTCATTAGTCTATAAGCTTGAATCCTATATGGAAAATGTCCTTTGGCTAAGGGATACCAACAGATGGTTGTGCTAATAACCAGCTTACACAGCCATCTTGTGGTGGCAGAGAACAAAGTCTGACCCCCTTCAGGGTAACAGCACTGAGGAGTTTCTGAAAGAATGTCACGGGAGCCAAGCTACTGGCCCCCTATTGAATGCTTTTAAACAGTCTTTTGTCTATTTAGAAGTAGATGGCCTCTGAATTATTAATCCAGTGAGGCGAATAATTCTATCACACTGTAACTTGGCAGGGAATGTCATCTTGTCATGACAGAGGCTACTCCTCTACAGAAAACTGAAGAAGAATTCCTAAATTCAATTTCAACTTGGTTAAGCATGTTGGGCCAAATCATGAAACTGAAAGGGTGTGTGTTTAATTTAGTTTCTTTTCTCTGCACACTGTATTAGTGAGGGAGATCACAGTGCTCTAGGCTCGAACTGCAAAATACATAATCATTATCAGGACAGAAAAGAGAATGGGAGACACAGATCTTTAGGGGATGAGTAGGGCAGACAATGAAAGGTTTGAAGAAACTCTGTGAGGCCCCAGCACATTGGAAAATTCCCCTGAAGTTTAGAAGCGGCCCCTTTTCTCACTCCAGTCCTCTCCAGGGGTTGCTAAGTGGGGTTTTATCAGACCTGTGGACCCCTGGAAACACAGCACAGAAATGCATTCGTATAGAACATCTACCCAGAGGGAAAGCCTATATTATCCACCAGCTTTCCAAATCCCAAATCACACTCTGCATTACCCTCTTTGGTTTGGCCCCTTCTGTGCACATGATGAGACCCCAAACCCTTCCTCCCTGGTCCAAGGCGAGCTGCTCTCTCTGCCTCCTGCTTGGCTCCTTTCTCTCCTGCAGCCCAGGCTTACCTGGCCATTGCCCTCTGCTAGAGACATTTTTCCACTTCTCATTTGCCAAATCATAACCCATTCGTCAGTCTAACACCCAGCTCAGAGAATCTTATCTACAAAAGAACATCCTTGTGTCGCTAGAAATTGATGCTTCAGTTCCCTCCAATCAGCACAAGGAACAACAATCTAAATCACTCTTCTCCCCTCCCTGATCCCCTGAAGATCTCTGCTAATTCATCCACAACACAGAATACATCCTGTTGGTGCCCTATAATTTCCACCACATGGACCCTGGCATCAGTGGATCCTTATAAACAAAGTCAATAATGGAATTAACACTACACAAACACAGAGGGGTACAGTAATCATTAGTCATTACAATTAAGTGAACACTTCCTAAATGTGAGTCACTGTCTTAAGGGTTTGTACATTTATTATTTCATTTAATCCTTGCAATCCATCCATTAATTCATTCACTGAGCAAACATTAAAGGATCTCCTGTGTGCCAGATACTCTTCTAGGTGCTGAGAGTACAGCCCTGAATTAAAACAGACGAAAATTCTGCCTCCACAAGCTTAGATGTTAGTGGGTGTAGGCAGACAATAAATCAATCCATAAGTAAAATATTTAGCATGCCAGATGGTGATAAGTACTAAGGAGGAAAATGCAAGCTGAGTGATGGAATGTGAAGTCCGAGGGAAAGGCCTCCCTGATTAGGTGAACAGAGAGGGTAAGAAGCGAAGTGCTGTCCGGCCCTGTGGCCCCGCCGAGGGGAGTGGAGAGAGCCAAGGGTAAGGGCTGTGGCGGGGAGAAGGTGGCGTGTCTCAGCAACAAGGACGATGTGGTTGGAGCAAAGGGAGCTTCTGCACTATCTCCAACTTACATTCAGGGAAAGAGAAATGGGTTGAATGGTGACCACCCAGAAAAAATACGTTCAACATCCTCATCCCCAGAACCTGTGATGAACCTTGTGTGAAAGAAGGATCTCTGCAGGTGTAATTAAGGATCTCAAAATGAGATCATCCTGGATGATGCCGGGGGTCTAACTGCCATGGCTGAGTGTCCTCATAAGGAACAGGAGAGGAGAGGGCGCAGAGGAGGGGCTGTGGGGACTGATGGAGGCGGAGAGGGAGTACCGCACCCACAGGGAATGTCAGCAGCCCCCGAGCCTGGAAGAGGCAAGGGTGCTCCCTAGAGCCTCCCGATGGAGTGTGGCCCTAAAGATACCTTGATTCCAGACTTTGAGTTTCCAGACCTGAGAGAGAACACATTTCTGCTGCTTTGGGCACCCAGTCCGGGGTACTTTGCTACAGAAGCCCCAGGAAACTGATACTGAGAGGTTAAGTAAGGTTCCTGCAGTTACAGAGCTCTTTGGGCGGGCGAGGTGCCACCCGAATCCTGGCAAGTAGACATCAGGGTGTTCTCAGGGCCACTCGGCAACCTGCAGTCTCTGCTACACCCCAGGGAATATACTGGCTATTATGACCAAGGGCCACACACTTCATTACACCAGGGTCTCGAGCTGCAAGCACCTGGCCTGGATTCCCTGGTTTTGCCTGGCCCTCCCCTAGAACTAGCCAAACATGGGCTTCCAGGTAGAGCTCTTGCCCATTCTATGGACAGGATTTTCTGGCTTGTTTCATTATTTGCCCCCAGAAGACAGCATGGGAGTCAGGCTTAAGGTATCAGCACGGTATCACTGGGATTAGATCTGAGGGGAAGGTTTTTGAGGCTCTAATTCCCTGGGAGTCCTGTGTGAGTGGAAATAGGCATGCTCTCATCTATTAGACAAACCCCGGTTACTTATATCTCTGCCAATTTTCACTGAGCAGCAAAAATTAGGTTTTGGACATCCTGTGCAAATGGAGGCAGGCCTGAGTCGATATGAGCAATTAACCCCTAAATATTTAGTAGATGCTCTAACTGCTCCCCCTCCCTGGGAAACAGACTCTGGCTAGTCCTCCGCAAACAAACAGGTCAGATGAAGAAGAAGCAAGGCACACAGATACTCAAGCCCCAGCCTCGTCTGGTTCCAAGACCACAGGAAACCCTCAGGACAAGGCTCTGGGGATGATGACGCAGCCAAGTGAATGGCCTTTGGGGACAGTGTCCTCTCCAGGGTTTACCAATGATGAAGCAAAAGGGATGGACACACACAGCCTTGCCAGAGTGTGAAGTGCCGACTCATGGTGACTGATGCAATTTTCTGTTGCCCCGTGTGGCTGTCGGCAGTGAGTACGTGCGTGTGTGTGCGCGCACGCGTGGGATGTACAGAAGGGCGAGTGCGCCGATGCTCCCTATCCAGAGCAACGCCTCAGGTCATGGCTTCATTCAGGCTCTCTCCGACCGAACCCACATACATCCTCCCTCTCCTCATCCCCTGCGACCAGCATCCCATCGGAGCAGACTTACCCAGTAGGCACAATGGGCACAAGGCTTAGTATTAGTCTCAGGGGTAGAATTTAGTGATTCATCAGTTGCATACAACGCCCAGTGCTCATCACATCACATGCCCTCAATGTCCATCAGCCAGTTACCCTATCCCCCCACCCACCTCCCCTCCAGCAACCCTCAGTTTGTTTCCTATAGTTAAGAGTCTCTTATGGTTTGCCTCCCTTTCTGTCTTTATCTTATTTTATTTTTCCTTCCCTTCCCCTATGTTCCTGTTTTGTCTCTTAAATTCCACATATGAATGAAATCATATGATACTTGTCTTTCTCTGACTGATGTATTTCACTTAGCATAATACCCCCTAGTTCCATCCATATCATTGCAAATGGCAAGATTTCAATGAACTTTTAGGCTGAAAAAAGTTTTCATATACTATATGAATACATTTATCTTCATACCAATGCTGTCGTAAAATATACATTTCTCTCTATATTAAAATATATGTATTACCAATATACATTTTAATATATGTGAAGTTAAATATATAGTAAATGGTTATTAAATATATAAACTTGTTAAATATATAGTATTTATTAAATATATACATTAAATTTACTAACATACATATGTGTGTGTATATATATATACACATATATACGTTGATTTTTTTTTTTAAGGAGCCCACGAAGGCCACTGTGTGGACCTGATCCCCACGTGTCTATTCTCACAAGTACAGGTAAGAACCACCGAGCTCACAGATGCAAAGGACTAGAAACTGTCCGTGGGCCAAGACTCACACCCAAGGCAAGAATCCCCCCTCCAGCAGGCTCTCCTTGTTCTGGGCAGGCTCTTCTGCTCTCTCTAACCAGAGGTGTGTTCGTCAAGCAGAATGAGACACGGCGGGAACACAAGAGCAACAATGGTGCCAAGCAGAAGGTGTGACAGGCCCCCCAAAAGATAAGCAGAGTGCCAGGGGAATTCACAGGTGGGGCCATCCATTCTACCCCGGGCATTAAAGAGGTCTCCCATGAGGAGGACTGTTTTCTGTCTCTTCCCAACCGTGTGGCTGGCATTCTTTTCGTGAGCCAGGCCAGAGTAGCTTGTTAAGAACCTCTAATCCACTTACCTCCACAGCGAGCTCTCAGTCACGCTCCCCAGATTGAAGTCATATAGCTTGGTCAGGATAAGTATCACCTGCAATGGGGAAGGGGAGGAGGGCAGAGGAGAGGAACAAAAGGGGAGAAAAAAGGAAGCTTACTTTAGTTTGTGTAACAATATACAGTTCATCTCAAATCACCCAGAGGAGGGCTTAGTATTTATCCATTGAGTGGAGGGGTATTATAGGATCAAGCAAGGGAAAACAGTTATTAATTAAATGCATCCCGTAACTGGTAGCATTTATTTTAATCCTGACGATGCTTTGCATTTGAAATAAAACATGCCAACAGGAATTAACTGGGTATCGACAGTTGTTTCTCTACATCTGTCCTCCTTGAAAGCGAGGTACCAGCCGGCTGGGTCTGAGGGCTCCTCCAGCCACCCGGGGATCAGAGGCTGGGCTCGCTTTTGATCTGAAGATGACTCTGACTTACAGACTTGGACCTAAAAGGGTAAGAAGGAATTGGGCCTAATTCTATCCATCTACAGAGAGGTTCAAAGAGATTTTGTGTTTCCATCACTAAGGCCTCGGCAGCCACAGAGACTTGAATGGCAGGCAGGCCCAGACCCCAACATCCTCTGATGTCATCTGCCATCTACCATCCGGCATCTGTCCTCGTCATGGAGTAAGTAGGGCATTGGACTCCCCTGGACTCCAGGACCACTTTCCTGACTCAGTTGAAATGAAGAAACCCAGAAGGAAGCTGTACGTGAAAGAGAGTGGGACTTTCTGTTACCGTTAGCAGTTTCCTAAAATGGTCTTGGGCTGCTCAGTCTGGTCCTATGCCCTTTACACCTCTCCAGCAGGAGACCAGGATACCAGACGTTCCCCCTGGCTGCCCCGTGTGTGCCCGGGCAGTGGCTCAGGCACAACTCTGAACCGACAAGGATTTCAAGCGCGTGCACCTAAATTGATTTTAATCAAGACACAGGTGCCTAATAGACAGCGCCTGCCAGCACATGTGATAATCCAGTTACACATAATTGTGTTTATCTAAATTTAATGCACAACTCATTTCACTTTTCTCAGCTCCTTCCCATTCCACAATTTAACTTCCTTCAGTTCATTTGCACAGCAGCCATTAAACTCTTTCCAAGATAATGAATTTCTGCTACCAAGATGGAACTTTCCCATTCTAGGTATCTATTTAAGATTAAAGAAAAATAATCAGCCATTATATTGGACATTTTTATGGCATTTCAATGACAACAGAACACTCACTTTGAGATGTATTCTCATCCAGCACCCCATGGGGTCGGTCAGCACAATTTCCATTCCCTTTATGTAAGCTAAGAAGAAATTAGATGCAAGGATGTGACCCATTATAGGTCAGACAGAGTCCATGGCAAAGTTGGTTTGGGATGTTCAACTTCCCTGCGGTGCCATGACTGGAGGACTCTTCTCAGAGTGCGTTCTTCGGTGGAGAGTGGTGGGTGGGCGAGAAAGAGCCAAGCCAAGAAAAACATCAATGACATGGCTATTGGCAGAACAGGAAAATCTACCAACTACCTGTCCTATTAACACAGCACAACAGCAAGGAGTGTGCATCCAGTGCAGAGAATTTCTCCCCACAGGCACTCAGTGGCCCTTGCCTCTCCCACTCAGAGAGAGTTCCCTCATTTATAAAATTCATGGGCTAATGAAAGCAAGGGATTTATCCTCACCCTCCCCAACCACATGCCTAGGAATGCACTGGTAATTCCCGTTCGCTGGATTAACACACACACCTACACACACACAGCAGACTTCATTTCCCCTTCATTTTACCTTCTTTCATCGACAAAGGCATTCACACCATCACTGTGTAAAACCGTGGGCTGGCTGTGTGCTGGCCAACCCAAATTCTGGACAAACAAACTCCAAATGGCTCTTCTAGAAATAGGTCAGAACACCCATCCAGAGCTCTGCAGGAGCAAATCAGGCCATTTCATTTTCTCCCAATATCAAGCCTTCATGGACATCAAACAATCTCCAAAAAGGACAAAGTCCACATAGAGAGAAGAAAGAGGTGTACGGGGTAAGAGTTCCACTTAACCAATAGAGCTTCTAACAAACAACTGGGTCTGGAAAGCCCTGGATAGAACCCAGAGCTGTTCTCATTCTATCAGTCTCCTTACTCAAAGTTTAGACCCTCTTCTTCCCTCCCTCCATCTTCTCTCTGTCCTTAATGTTTCTTGTTTATCTAATCTCATGTTGGTGTCGGCTTCTTGGGGGCTCCAGACAGACACATCCTTCCATACCTCTATGACTATTATTTCTGCCTTCATGGTAGATAGTTCCAATTCTGGCTCTTGATTTGTGCACTTTGTTGGTTAGAAATCCTTGCTGGTTCCCTCTGCCTAAGGATGAACTCCAGACTCCTGAGCCTGTTACATAAGGCACACGCACATATGTACACACACACACACACACACTCCTCCAACCACTTTTCCACAGTTCTCAAGACACTGTCTTCTGCTTTAACAATCCAAGTTTCTCAAGGGGCTGCAAATAAACCAAACCTGTTCTCACATCTCTGCCTGCTTGCTTTCATGCTGCGTTCTATCGTCTATGTCTCAGCCTTTTATTATCACCTGCACGTGCCTGCCTGTTGTTCAAGAAACAACTTAAAGCCCACCTTCTCCAGGCAGCCTCCCAGGACCAGCCCAGCCATCAGAGTGCTCGCTCTTCTGAAGTCCTATTGCACTTAAAACGGAATTACATAACTTGGCACTTAGTCAAACACTATCCTGATCCCTTCTGGATCTCACAGGATTTGCCTTCTCAACTAGATTGAGGCGGGGTTTGTGGTTTGTTCTTCTGTCTCCCTAACAGGTAAGCTCATCATGTCAAAGGTTCCTAAAAATAATCATTTTTGAGTCAATCAATGAAGGATAATGCTGTTTTAGTGATAAATCACAGGCTTGAGACGGGGATGGTATTAATCGAGTCTATTTCCCTCATTGTACAAATGAGGAAACTGATGCTCAGAGAGAGGCCAGGACTCCAGTTAATGTCTCGATAGTGTGTGACCTTGACCAAGTGCCCAGAGCACTGTTCTTCCACTCCATGAGTAGAGCTAGAGCTTCACCGTGACTGGAAAGCCTTGTAAATGCAGATTCTCTGGTCCCACTCCCAGCAAGTTTGACTTGGTAGGTCCTGGGTAGGGTTCAGAAATCTTCCTGTGGTAACCAGAGAACCACACTCGGGAAAGACTCCATCCTACCATGATTCCTCTCCCAACTCTGTGCTGTGGTGACCCCACCCTTCCACCATGCTGAGATCCTCATCTAGAGAAGCATCCCTTCCTTTAAGTGGAGTTGAACCTTACAAAGAAAGCACGCAGTAAGAGATGTAGGAGGAAGATGTCTCAGCCAAATCACCCCTGCATTCCTCAGAAGAAAGGTCCAAACACTGAGAACTGGGGGCTGGAAGCTTCCTTTCCCCAGGAGCCAGACAGAAGGACAATAATAGAGCTATGAAGAGATGATAATGTAACCTTTAGCCTTAAGATATTCTGTGCCAAGCAAACAAAACCAAGAGTGAAACAAAGCCTGCCCATCCCTGGCTTCTCTTACCACTCAGAGCCTTCCAAAGGCCTCCAGAGAGGAGGGAATTAGCAGGGAAGAAAACTGAAAGCAGAGGCAGTAAACCCACTAAGCCCCAGACTGCTGGGCAAGTACACACATCAGAAGGGGAAGACACGGGTGTACCTTGGGAATCACCAGTGGGTGGGATGTGGCACAGGAAGGGTAGCAGGGCTAGTCCGGGATCCATAGCAAAGCCTGACTTGACTCCTCTTCAGCAGATGCCCCCAGAGAAGGGCGGACAGTCAAAGTCAACAAAGGAAAAGCAGTGAGCAAACGTTAATTGAACCCCTACCATGTAATAAACACTACACTAGGTGCTTCTCAATCCTCACAACAAACTTTTGAAACTGAGCAAGTGTAACATAATACCCCCATTTCACAGATATGAAACCTGAGTTCCGAGAGCTAAGCAAGTTGCCCCCCACCAAGGCACACAACTAGCAGGAGACAGAGCCAGCATTCCCATCCATGGGACACGCCATGCTTGCCCTGCTCGAATGCAACCTCCTCCATTCTGCAAATGTGATGTGAGCTGGTTGTATGTGAGGCAATGAGTAGTCATACACATAGGAGAAAAGCATATCCCTGACCTCAAGGAGTTGAGCATTTACTCATGAATTTCACAAATATTTACTGGGCTCTCCTTGGGTGAATTAGAAAGGCACCTGCTAAACTCTGGGACTCAGGGAGAGAGCCAGCGCTCAAGGCCCAAGGGTGAAGGTAACTTTTGTTGTCTTTGTTCTTGGAGAAGGTAATAGGAAACAGATATGGAATGAGAAAAGAGCTATACAAACTTCTGGGAGACCGGGTTTGTCAAATAAGCTCATTTTTTACCTAACTGGCTACAATCCTGGGAGCTTTTAGACAGCAGGAGAAATGAAAATAAATTGGAATAATTCATGAGTAAATAGTATCTCTCTTAATATAGGCTATATACCTACAGACACATACATATAGAGTGTGGAGAGAAGTCCCTAGACATGTATGTGGGTGTATATATAAATATAGTTAGAAAGGCCCATGGTATATAGAATGAGTACACATACACACACAACCTTAAATTGGCATCTGACCTCTTCTCTGGAATTACACTCCGGTTATTCATCTCTCATAAGCTTCCATCACACAGGGTCAGTGTGACTTTTCCATATGTCTGACTTGTCTGTTAGATTGTGGCCTCACTGAGGTTAGAAATCAGGTCTCATTCAACTCTGCATCCCCAATGCATAGCACATCACTTGGCAGGCACTACACAGGGTCCATTGAATGAATTATGGATACAGGACAATAAAAGAAGAGATGAGATGATAAATGTATTTGAGAGGTACAGATAACGTGCTATAAGAGTTGAAGAGAAGAAGCAATTAAGTCCATAGAATGTGACCAGAAAAGTCTCCACGAAGGAAAGATTACATGAGCTGGAACTTAAAGTATGGTAAGAATTTGGCCATACTAAAATGGAGCTC